ATGATAAATTAACAGAAGTAAGACAAGAGAGAGAGGGGGGTTTGATTGCGATCTTCTTGGAGCTGCAAGAGGCTTTTGACACAGTTCCTCACAGAGATTTAGGTGAGAAGCTAGAGCAATCAGGGGCATATAACAGGAAGGGCAATGCATTGGATCGAGAATACCTGACAGGGAGGAAACAACGGAGTCATGGTACGGTAATGATGTTCACAGTGGGCACCTGTGACGAGCGGGGTCCCAAAGGGGTCGGGTCCTGGACAGTGCTATTTTGGTATATGCGTGAACGACATGACGGAAGGGTTAGACTCAGAAGTGTATAATCCTGTTTGCCAGATGATGTGATGTTAATGAGGGAGAATGAAATCTGATGAGACCAGCAGGACTACCCCCGTCTCAGTCCCCAAGACTGGGACAAACCTGGTCCAGCAAAATGGCTTCTCGAATTTAATCCTGCCAAATGCAAAGTCATGAAGATGGGGGAAGGGCACAGAAGACCACAGGACAGAGTATAGGCTAGGTGGCCAAAGACTGCAAAACCTCACTCAAGGAAGAAAGATCTTGGGGTGTGTATAACTCCGAGCATGTCTCCGGAAGGCACACATCAATCAGATAAAACTGCTGCAGCATAATGGCGCCTGGCCAAACTGAGAACAGCATTCCGACACCTTAGTAAGGAATCATTCAAGACACTGTACACGGTATGTCAGGCCCATACTGGAGTATGCAGCACCTGTTTGGAACCCGCACTTGATAAAAGCACGTCAAGAAACTAGGAAAGTACATAGGTTTGCACCAAGGTTAGTTCCAGAGCTAAGGGGAATGTCCTATGAAGAAAGATTAAGGGAAATCGGAGGCCTGACGACATGGAGGACAAGGAGGGTCGGGAGACATGGAAACGACATATAAAATACTGCGTGGAATAGACAAGGTGGAAAGGAAGGATGTTCCAGGGAGGGGGACACAGAAACAGAGGCCACAATTGGAGTTGAAGACACAAATGAGTCAGGAGAGATAGTAGAAGTATTTCTTCAGTATAGAGTTGTAGCAGTGGAATAGCCTAGAAAATGACGTAGTGGAGGCAGGAATATACACAGTTTTACGCTACGAGGTTTGATAAAGCTCATGGAGCGGGAGAAGAGAGAGGGTCTAGTAGCAACCAGTGAAGAGGCGGGGCCAGGAGCTAGGACTCGACCCTGCAACCCAAATAGGTGTGTACACAATAGGTGAATGTACACACAACACACACACACAACACACACACACACACACACACACACACACATACACAACATACACACACACACACACACACAACACACACACACACAACACACCACACACACACACATACACACACCACACACACACACACCAACACACACCACACCACACACACACACACATACCAAACACACACATACACACCACACACATACACCACACACACACATACACAATTAACACAACACACATACACCACACACACACACACACACACACACACACACACACACCCACACACACACACATCACACACCACACACACACACACACACACAACCTTACCAACACACACAAACACACACACAACACACACAACACACACACACACACACACACACACACAACAACACACACACATACACACACACACACATACACAACACACACCACACACACACACACCTACATACACAACACACCACACACACACACACACACACACCACACACACACACACACACACACTCCACACACCACACATACACATACTACACACACACACACACACACCACACACAACCCACACACACACACACACACACACACACACACACACACCCACACACACCACACACACACACACGATTCATACATGTTTAAGAAGAGTGTGATGTAAAGCTCAGCCAGGGCCTTCGAGGGATGAGTGACCTAGTTAGCAACAGTGAGAGCGGATGCCAGGAGCTCGCTGGTGATGTGCTGTTGATCCTCCTGCTAAAACGCCATAGAATTATGGTTCGGTGAGTACACACACACACCTTCCCTAAGTGGCTCTGATGTAGGGGACAGCGACTATGTACAGCTGATGTTCGTATACCTTGTGAAAGTGAAACATAGGAATACAAAGTATAGAGAAAATGACAAAATGACTTCGAAAGAGGAAACTAGCACTCACTAGCACGTTAAGAGACCATACAATAAGTGTCAGGGGCCCGAGACTGTTCAACTGCCTCCCAGCATACATAAGGGGGATTACCAACAGACCCTGGCAGTCTTCAAGCTGGCACTGGACAAGCACCTAAAGTCGGTTCCTGACCAGCCGGGCTGTGGCTCGTACGTTGGTTTGCGTGCAGCCAGCAGCAACAGCCTGGTTGATCAGGCTCTGATCCACCAGAAGGCCTGGTCACAGACCGGGCCGCGGGGGCGTTGACCCCCGGAACTCTCTCCAGGTAAACTCCAGGTATGATTGTATGAGGTAATTCCTAAGCAGTGCCGTGGGAAAGGCAACGAATGATTATTATTATTATCATGATCAAAAAGAAGCGCTAAACCACAAGGACAAGGCAACGAATGAAAGTGAATATTAGGGTGGAAAGTGCCGGCAAGCAGAGGGAACATTCATACCGTGATGCCGAGAAGGCTCAGGACAGAACAGACTGAGCCCAAGGTTCACCCCGAGGTGCAGGAAGGCACAGGCTGAAAGTGCAAGAACATGAAAGAAATATAGAAAGCAAAGAAAGCCGGAAAATAGGGAATCAAGCAAAATATACAGAAATGAATATATGTGGGTAAGAAAAGAGACTGAACAGCTATTTGAGAATGTCGTAGAGTCAAAAGCCAAATCTGTGCCAGAATTGATGTTCAGCCACATAAGAAGGAAGACAAAGGTGATGTACCAGGTAATAAGGGTAAAGAAGGAAGAAGAGCTAACTAAGGAATAAATAAGAAGTCTGTGGGGAGATGAACAAAAGATTTAGAAAGGTATTCTTAGTTGAATCACGAGCATTGCCATAGTGAAAGAAAGTACACCAGTGAATACTGGACACAAAACAAACAACAGGAGGAGAGGTGAAGGAAATACTGAGTGAATTAAATACCTAGAAGGCGATGGGACCAGACAAAATCTCGTCCTGGGTTCTGTGAAAGGGAGCAGAGGAAAGGTATGAACAACTAGCAGCGATCTTCAACAAACGGACTGAAGCAGGGCAGCTGCCAGAGGTCTGGAAAGCAGTTAATGGAGTCCCAGTTTTCAAAAAGGGACATACATGTGACACTGAACTGCAGACCTATGTCAATAATATGCATAATTTGTAAAGTTATGGAGAAGATTATCAGGAGAAGAGTGGATCACCTGGAAAAGAGTAGATTAATAAACAACAGCCAGTACGTTTCTCGAGATGGTAAATCCAATCTCACAAATCTGCTAGAGTTCCATGATAAGGTAACGAAAGATGGGTGGGCTGTCTATTTTTGAATTGCAAGAAAGCGTTCGATACAGTACACTAAAAGAGACTGGCACAAAACCTAGAGGAGTAGGCAGGAATTATAGGGAAAGCACTTTAGTGGATCAAGGAAGCAACGAGCAAGGGAGGAGATATCGGAATTGGCCAGTGTGACTAATGAGGTTCCACGAGGGTCAATACTTGGTGCAGTACTGTTTCTTGTGTATGTAAACGACATGACTAGATACGGAGTCCAATGTGTCTGTTTGCAGACAACGTGATACTAATGAGGAGAATATAAACCTGGAAAGACCACAAATGGATCTGGACAGGCTGTATGATTGACCTGACAAGAGACTGTTGGAATTTAATCACAGAAAATGCAACGTACTAAAAACTTAAGAAGTGTGAAGACTTCCGGAAACTGTACAGGCTCGGGAAACAAACGCTACAAACTTCCCTGGAAAAGAAGTACCTAGAGGTAAGCTTAGTTCTAAGCATATCGCCTAAGCTATACGTCAACTAGCTAAACAAATAACCGCTTCAGGAAACACGAAACTGTCAAATTTATGGGTGGCTTACAAGAAGATCAACAAGGAGGCATTCATTGCCTTAAACGGCATATGTCAGAACCATCTTGCAGTATACAGCGCCATTATGGAACCCACATCTGGCAAAACATGTAAAGAAGCTGAAAAAAAGTGCAGAGGCTAAAGGAGTTAAAACTGAGGACTAGAGGACAAAAGTATCAAAGATGACATGATTACGACCTACAAAATGCTGATAGAAATTCACATGGAGGGTCTCAGGTACACGAGATTACAACTGGAAGTTAAAAGCTCAGTTTAGCCATAAGAATGTTAGGAAAAGCTGCTTTATCCTTAGAGTGGTCACAAAGTGGAACGGCTTAGACAGCAAAGCGGTACAAGTAGAATCTATTGATAGCTTGAAGATCAGGTATGAAATGGCTCACTGGCTCACGCATCCAGGTAAAAGTGAAGTTAATAGTGACTAGCACAGGGGCGGGGCCGGAAGCTGGGACTCGACCCATGCAACCACAATAAGATGAGCACACACACACACACACACACACACACACACACACACACACACACACACACACACACACACACACACACACACACACACACACACACACACACACACACATTAAGGTACAACTTTCACAAAACTTAGTTTGAACGACAGGAACATGAAGGACAAAGTTCTACAGGAATGTGAAGAATAATCAGTTTTGGCCAAGGGGACGATGAATTGAATATCCTTCAGAGCATATATTTTACTAATGCAGATGACTAAAATTAAGTGCTATTACGTTATTCTAGCAAGAATACTCACAGAGCCTCGAGGGAAGATCTGGCAGCAAAGTTCTTAATACTCAGTTAATCCTGAAACTACTTTGAGAACAGATCTAATAACAATGGTTCCACTAAGACACCCCTCTATGTCCAATAACACATTAATCTTAGTCCTGAACACGCTTCTTTCTGTAACTGGTGTATGTTAAAACTCACAATTGTGTTGCGTCTCCCGCAGAAGACAAGTGCGTCCCGCCGGCGCCGCCCCTCAACGGCATCGTGAGTGGTGAGGGCCCCTTCCACGCCGGAGACGTGGTCGATGTCAAGTGTAGTCCTAACTACATGATGGAAGGACAACCGCTCATTGTCTGCCAGGAGGATGGACAGTGGTCCGACGAGGTACCGAAGTGTGAGTATTATCTTGGTGATCCAACTGAAGAGTGAGTGTGTTACTGAAGGAACGGCTGAGGTGGGAACACATTTTCAATTATCTTACTTAAGTGTGAATCAATTAGGTGAGTACAGTTAGAAAGTGGTTCAGTCTAACGCTTGCCATATGCAGGATCAAGCACTTAACTAGCCTTGCAGGATCAACCCTCCACCTAATCTTGCAGGATCAAGTCACCACCTAGTCTTGCAGGATCAATCCTCCAGCTAATCTTGCAGGATCAAGTCTCAACCTAGTCTTGCAAGATCAAGCCTCAACCTAGTCTTGCAGGATCAATCCTCCACCTAGTCTTGTAGGATCATGCCTTCACTTAATCTTGCAGGACCAATCCTCTACCTAGTCTTGCAGGATCAAACCTCCACCTAGTCTTGCAGGATCAAGCCTCCACCTAGTCTTGCAAGATCAAGCCTCCACCTAGTCTTGCAGGATCAATCCTCCACCTAGTCTTGCAGGATCAATCCTCCACCTAGTCTTGCAGGATCAAGCCTCCACCTAGTCTTGCAAGATCAAGCCTCCACCTAGTCTTGCAAGATCAATCCTCCACCTAGTCTTGCAGGATCATGCCTTCTCTTAATCTTGCAGGACCAATCCTCTACCTAGTCTTGCAGGATCAAACCTCCACATAGTCTTGCAGGATCAAGCCTCCACCTAGTCTTGCAAGATCAAGCCTCCACCTAGTCTTGCAGGATCAATCCTCCACCTAGTCTTGCAGGATCATGCCTCCACCAAGTCTTCCAGGATCAAGCTTTCACTTAATCTTGCAGGACCAATCCTCTACCTAGTCTTGCAGAATCAATCCTCCACCTAGTCTTGCAGGATCAAGCATTTACCCAGTCTTGCAGGATCATTTTTTTTAAAAAAATTTTTAAAAAACCCCCCCAAAAAAAAAACCCCCCCCCCTTTTTTCCCCCCCCCCTTTTTTTTTTTTCCCCCCCCCCCCTTTTTTTCCCCCCCCTTTTTTTTAAAAAAAAAAAACCCCCCCCCCTTTAAAACCCCCCAAACCCCCTTTTTTTTTCCCCCCCCTTTCCCTTGGGCCCCCCCTTTTTCCCCCCCCCTTTTTTTTTAAAAACCCCCCCTTTTTTTAAAAAACTTTTAAACCCCAAAAACCCCCTTTTTAACCTAAAAAACCCCCCCAACCAACCCCAAACCCCCCAACCAAACCCCCCCAAAACCCCAACCAACCCCAAATTTTTTTTTAAAAAATTTTTTTCCCCCCCAAAATCCCCCCTTTTTCCCCCCAAAACCCCCGGGCCCCCCCCCCTTTTAAATTCCCCCCCTGGAAAAACCCCCCCCTTTTGGGCCCCCCCCTTTTTGGGTTTCCCCTATTTTTTTGGGAAAACCCCCCCCTTTTTTTAAAAACCCCCCCTTTTTTTTCCCCCCCCCGGGGTTTTTTTTCCCCCCCTCCACCTATTTTTTGCAAAACCCCCAAAATTTTTTTCAACCTCCATTTAGTCTTGGGGATAAACCCCCCCCTTTTTAAAAAAACCCCCCCCCTTTTTGCCAAAACCCCTCAACCGGGTTTTCGATCAATCCTCCCCTAGTTTTCTTTGATAAAATCCCCACCTTTTTTTTGGGGAAAAAAAAAAAAAAAACCCCCCCCCCCCCCTTTTTTTAATCCCCCCCCCCCCAAAAAAACCCCCCCTTTTATTTTTTCCCAAATTTTTTTTCCCCCTTTTTAAAAATTTTAAATTTTCCCCTAAATTTTAAACCCCCCCCCCCTTTTTTTTTCCCCCCTTCCCCCCCAACCCTTTTTCCCCCGGGGGAAAAATTTTTTCCCCCCCCCCCCCAAACCCCCTTTTTTAAACCCCCAAAAAACCCCCTTTAATTTTTTAAAAATTTTCCCCTTTTCCCCCCAAAAATTTTTTTTTTTAAAAAAAATTTTTTTTTTTCCCCCCCCTTTTTTTTCCCCCCTTTTTTTCCCCCCAAAAATTTTTTTTAATCCCCCCCCTTTTTTAAAATTCCCCCTTTTCATGATAAACCCCCACCTAGTTTTTGGGAAACCCCCCCCAAAAATTTGCGGGAAACCCTCCCCCCTTTTTTTCCCAAAACCCAAAATTTTTTAAAAACCCCCCCTTTTTAAAAACCCCCCCATTTTTTTCCCCCCCATTTTTTTGGGCCCCCCCCCCTTTTTTTTGGGGGAAAACCCCCCCAATTTTTTTAAAAATTTTCCCCTTTTGCGGGAAACCCCCCTTTTTTTTGGGAAACCCCCCCAAAATAACCCCCCCCCTTTTTAAATTTTTCCCCCAATTTTTGGAAAATTCCCCCCCTTTTTTCCCCCCCCCCCCCCAAAAAAAACCCCCTTTTTGGCCCCCCCCCCTTTTCCTTCCCCCCCCCTTTTTTTTTTTCCCCCCCCCCCTTTTTTTGGGGCCCCCCTCCCAAAAAAAACCCCCCCCCCCCAAAAACCCCCCTTTTGCCGGGAAATCCCCCTTTTGGGAAAACCCCCCATTTTTGTTTAAAAAACCCCCTTTCCCGGGGAAAATCCCCCCCCCCAAAACCCCCCCAATTTTTGGAAAATTTCCCCCTTTTTTCTTGACCAACCCCCCGGGGGGGAAAACCCCCCCTTTTTTGGGAAACCCCCCCTTTTTTTAACCCCCCCCAAAAACCCCCCAAAAACCCCCCCTTTTCCCCCCCCCCCCCCTTTTCAGGCCCCTTCCCTATTTTTTTTTTCCCCCCCAAATTTTTTTGGAAACCCCCCCCTTTTTTTTCCCCCCCCTTTTTTTTTTTTTTTCCCCCCCCCAAAATTTTTTTCCCCCCCCCCCGGGGAAAAACCCCCCCTTTTTTGGGGGGTTTTTTTTTTCCCCCCCCCAAAACCCCCAAAAAAAAACCCAATTTTTTTTAAAAAAACCCCCCCCCCTTTTTTCCCCAAAACCCCCAATTTTTTTTAAACCCCCCCTTTTTTTTTCCCCCTTAACCCAAAAAACCCCCCGGGGGGCCCCCCCTTTTTTTTTAAAAAAACCCCCCCGGGGGGAAAAACCCCCAACCCCCCCCCCCAAAAAACCCCCTTCCTTCCCCCCCCCTTTTTTAAAACCCCCCTTTTTTTTCCCCCCCCCCCCCCCTTTAAATTTTTTTTTAAAACCCCCCAAGTTTTTGGGAAATCCTCCCCCTTTTTTTTTTTAAAAACCCCCCTTTTTTTCCCCCCCCTTTTTGGGAAAACCCCCCCTTTTTGGGTCAACCCTCCCCCCCCCCCCCCCCCTTTTAAAAAACCCCCCCCCTTTTTTTTTTCCCCCCCCCTTTTTTTTCCCCCCCCTAGTTTTTTTTAAAAAACCCCCCTTTAGTCTTGCTGATCAACCCCCTTTTTTAAAAAAATTTCCCCCCGGGGGGGGGGGGGAAAAATTTTCCCCCTTTTTCCCACCTTTTTTTTTCCCCCCCTTTTTTTAAAACCCCCCCTTTTTTAAAAACCCCCCTTTTTTTTCCCCCCCCCTTTTGGAAACCTCCACCTAGTTTCAGGATAAACCTCCCCCTTTTTTTTTTTCCCCCCTCCACCTAGTCTTGCATAAAACCCCCCCCCCTTTTTTCCCCTTTTTCCCCGTTTTAAAAACCCCCCCCTTTTTCCCCCCCCCCGGGCCCCAACCAATTTTCTTTTCCCCCCTTTTTTAAAAACCCCCTTCCCCCCCAAAAATAATTTCCCCCCCCCTTTTAAAAAATTCCCCCTTTTTGGGAAAAACCCCCCCTTTTTGGAAATCCCCCTTTTTTGGGAAAAACCCCCCCCCCTTTTTTAAAATTTTTTCCCCAATTCCCCCCCCCATTTTAAAAACCCCCCCTTTTTTAATTAAATTCCCCGGTTTTTTTTTTTAAATTTTTAAAAATTTTTAAATTTTTTGGCCCCCCCCAAAAAAAAAACCCCCCCCCCCCCCAAAAAATTTTTTAAAATCCCCCCAAGGGGGAAACCCCCGGGGGTTTTTTCTCCCCCTTTTTTTCTTGAGGATCAACCCCCCAATTTTAAAATTTTTTCCCCCCTTTTTTTTAAAATTTTTTTTCCCCCCCCCCTTTTTTAATAAACCCCCCCTTTTTGAAAAACCCCCCCCCGGAAAAATTTCCCCAACCCCCAAAAAACCCCCAAATTCCCCCCCTTTTTTTTTTCCCCAATTTTTTCCTTCCCCCAAAACCTTCCAAAACCCCCTTTTTTTTCCCCCCCCTTTTTTGAAAATCCCCCCTTTTTAAAAAAAACCCCCTTAAATTAATTCCTTTTTAAAAACCCCAATTTTGTTTTTTTTCCCCCCTTTTTTTTTTCCCCCCCCCTTTTTTTTTCCCCCCCCTTTTTAAAATTCCCCCTTTTTTTTCCCCCAATTTCCCCCCCCCTTTTTGTTTGGGGAAAAAAAAAAAAATTTTTTTTTTAAAAAAACCCCCCCTTTTTCCCCCCCCCCAAAAACCCCCCCTTTCCCCGGTTCCCCCAAAAAAAAACCCCTTAAAAAAAAACCCCCTTTCCCGGGGCCCCCCCTTTTCCCCGTTTTTCCCAAAAACCCCGGGGGAAAAAACCCCCCCCCCCCCCCCCTTTTTTTTTTAAAAAACCCCCCTTTTTAAAAACCCCCCCCCCCCCCTTTTTTTCCCTTCCCCTTTCCCTTTCCCCCTTTTTAAAAAACCCCCCAAAATTTCCCAAAAAAACCCCCCCCAAATTTTCCCTTAAACCCCCCAAATTTTCCCCCTTTCCCCCTTTTTAAATTCCCCCCCCCTTTTTTAACCCCCAAAAAATTTTTTCCCCCCCTTTTTTCCCCCCCCCTTCCCCCAAACCAACCTTTTTTTTTTTCCCCCCCCCCTTTTTCCCCCTCCCCCCAAAATTTTTTTCCCCCCAAAAATCCCCCCCTTAAAACCCCCCCCAAAATTTTAAAATTTTTCCCCCAACCCCCAAAACCCCCCCAAAAACCCTTAAAAACCCCCCCCCCAAATTTTCCCTATCCCCCCTTTTTTTTTTTTTTTAAAAATTCCCCCCCTTTTAACCAACCCCCCTTTTTTTTTCCCCCCCA